TTAAATTCAGAATCATATGATACAAATTATAAAGTAGCAAAATTTTGTTGAATCATATTATCAGTTGTGACTTTACAAGATGTAATTTATATTTTCTGGATTTATTGTTTTGGTGTCTTCCTGTAACATCTTTATATTACATCTTTATATTTATGTATTTTTCGTGTCTATACTTCATGCTCCAATGTTACAATAAATGTACAATTCATTGCCTTAATTGTATTATTGTGATGTCTTGATAAGTTTCACATACCCCGGTTGGGGTCTCTGAGAAGTTAAAATTTGAACTCGATTCTCAAGTTATAATTTCTCAAAAGGATAAATATTATTTATAGACGCTAAATTTGTATTTTTATTGTACATATCGTTACAGGTTTGATATCAAAGAGATACAATGGATAGGCATTGGTTCGATAGAATTTCCCCGCACTTAATGTGTTCACTTAAACCCATTGTTAAATAAAATGATATGATCAAGATGTATGTCATTTTGTAGTATTTAGTTAAACACGTGGCAATGAGATTTCAGCCTTAAGTTAAAATATGTAGATTGTAGTTCAAGTTTATTTTAGGTGAACTCAAGATAAGCTCCTCTGGGTTTTTGTTTTTTGCTTTGGTGATGTGGTTTGTTAATTGGTTCTTTTTATTCCTGTTATTTTGCATATATTTTTTTCAAACTCTGTTATTTTAAAAATCCAGATGTAATGTATCACAAAACAATTAATGTGGCAAATTAATGAAGTAAAACAAAATGTTCACATTTTAATGCCTTGCCTCGAGATTTGATGTTCAATGGAATATGAACATTTGAGATAACATATCTTAACACATCTAGGTATATATTTTGTTCGGGAATAATTATTTTGTAATAACAATATGCAAAATCTACAATGAGTATAAGTATTTGAAAAATGCAAATTTTATGATGACAAATATATACCCGAAATAATCAAATCAACAACTGTTCAAAATTGTAATTTTGTTTTATCATTTTCCGAACCCACCAGAAAAAAATCTTTTAATTGAAATTGATCACTTAATTGAGAAAACACGGTCACGGAAAAAAGTCACTTAACATAATCAAATATCAAAGAAAAATTTATATTTTGATTGGCAAGAGAGCATGTTGTCAGTCTGACTAAAGCCCGCCCCCACTATCCACTTGCCCAAGTGTATAGTGGGGACTGGCTTTAGCCAGACTGGCATGTTATCGTCTAGATTTTCACCAATTATCTTCAATTAATTATATATAGTTATCAAAGGTACCAGGATTAAAATTTAATACGCCAGACGCGCGTTTCGTCTACATAAGACTCATCAGTGACGCTCAGATCAAAATAGTTATAAAGCCAAACAAGTACAAAGTTGAATAGCATTGAGGACCCTAAATTCCAAAAAGTAGTGCCAAATACCGCTAAGGTAATCTATTCCTATATATACTATTCCTTATTAGAATCAATTAGATCTTAAAAAATTTAGATTCAGATTCAAGATTCAATATTTTAATAACGTTTCATCACTTGTAATACATACATGTACGATACAATCATGATAATATATACATTACATAAAACAGCAATTTTATGAGTTAAAATACAAGATATTAAAAGTTGACGTTTTGTTTAGTTTCTTCGTCTCAATAGTGGACGTAATTGAACTTAAATGGTCAATAGTGCTTCTACTTTTACGAAAACCATTTTTCTCATCATGCAAAATATCTCTGTGGTCCATTGTTTAAAATACTACAATACAATTTATAAGCACACGGTGATACAGTAATTCCCCGATAAGACAATGGATCCTTGGGATCCGATGCAGAACGAATCCGGGTCCGTTTGCCCAAAATCACGTTCGCTCCCGTTCACGTTCGCCACCTTTCCCGTTCGCACCCTGGGTTCAGTATTTGAATAAAAATAGGGTGCGAACGAACCTAGGGGGCGAAAGTGTGGGGTGCGAACGTGTATTGGGAGCGAACGGACCCGATCCGATTTAGAAAACTTTGGGATAGGTGTGATTATCCCTTCACACCACACAGATGGAATTTTACCAAATTTAAAACATATATTAAATAATTTGTGTAAAACATGTAATAATAAATTATTTTTAAACAATTCTAAAGGTATCAACTCGATCCTTGATGCGTTGTCATTTTTAGCTTTGCGGTAATATCTTTAAAACTTCATCAATATTAATTTCAGAATCTAAATCAACATCCAAAATATTACTATAAGGTAATCGATCAATTGAGATAACTGTTACAACGCATTAGATGACCATGTTACTTTTTCCAGCGAAATTATATCATATAAATAAGAAGATGTGGTATGAGTGCCAACGAGACAACTCTCCATCCAAGTCACAATGTATATAAAGTTAACAATTATAGGTCAAAGTACGGCCGTCATCATGAAGCCTTGGCCCACACCGAACAACAAGCTATAAATGGCCCCAAAATGACTAGTGTAAAAATAATTCAAACAGAAAAACCAACGGTCTAATCTATATTAAACACGAGAAACACCTATGAACCACACCAACAAAAGACAACCACTGAACAACAGGCTCCTGACTTATGACAGGTGCATAAAAAATGCAGTGGTTATATCTTTAAAACTTCATCAATATTAATTTCAGAATCTAAATCAACATACAAAATATTACTATAAGGTAATCGATCAATTGAGATAACTGTTACAACGCATTAGATGACCATGTTACTTTTTCCAGCGAAATTATATCATATAAATAAGAAGATGTGGTATGAGTGCCAACGAGACAACTCTCCATCCAAGTCACAATGTATATAAAGTTAACAATTATAGGTCAAAGTACGGCCGTCATCATGAAGCCTTGGCCCACACCGAACAACAAGCTATAAATGGCCCCAAAATGACTAGTGTAAAAATAATTCAAACAGAAAAACCAACGGTCTAATCTATATTAAACACGAGAAACACCTATGAACCACACCAACAAAAGACAACCACTGAACAACAGGCTCCTGACTTATGACAGGTGCATAAAAAATGCAGTGGTTATATCTTTAAAACTTCATCAATATTAATTTCAGAATCTAAATCAACATACAAAATATTACTATAAGGTAATCGATCAATTGAGATAACTGTTACAACGCATTAGATGACCATGTTACTTTTTCCAGCGAAATTATATCATATAAATAAGAAGATGTGGTATGAGTGCCAACGAGACAACTCTCCATCCAAGTCACAATGTATAAAAAGTTAACAATTATAGGTCAAAGTACGGCCGTCATCATGGAGCCTTGGCCCACACCGAACAACAAGCTATAAATGGCCCCAAAATGACTAGTGTAAAAATAATTCAAACAGGAAAACCAACGGTCTAATCTATATAAAACACGAGAAACACCTATGAACCACACCAACAAAAGACAACCACTGAACAACAGGCTCCTGACTTATGACAGGTGCATAAAAAATGCAGTGGTTTAAACGTTTTAACAGGCGCCAACCTTCACCCTAACCTGAGACAGTAGTGTAACATTACAACATAAAGACACACTTTAAAATATCAATTGAAATGGCTTAACTCGATCAAAAAGACATTTAAAAAAAGACAAGTAAACATACATTAAACGAATAATACAATATTAAAACGTAGTTGCCTATATAACATAGACGTTACAGGTAGTAAAAAAAAGATGAAGGAAGAGTGTCAATACGACAACTCTTACCTGTGACAAAATGGCGTTAAATAAAACAACGTAAACAGGTGAATTTAAATATAATAATTTTGTTGTTAGATATACGGAAGTAAACATTTTTTACAAAATTAATAAATTTGTTGTTCAGAGTACGAGTACAGAATTTTAAATTTATCGTCATACTAAATACTTGGTACATATTGAAAATAGTAAGACGAGATACAACACAAAATAAGTAAACATTGAACTACAGAAATGCATTACAAATTGTGTCAACAGGTCAGATTAACACGAAAGTACGAATTGAGAGTATTCGCAGTTTCTGAAAGCTAGTTAAAAGCCAAAAACAATTAACAATAAAAAATCATGCATCAGAGACTAAAATCAATTAAAACACATCCCAGGGATTTAGTGTTTTAACGCCATAGACAGTCAAAGAAGACATGACTTGCGTAATGCCTAAATGAAGTATCGACAGGCAGAAGGATCGTTAGGATTTAACCTTATTGTAAATATGTATCATGTTATATACAGATAAAGCAATCTTCAAATAGAAAATTGTGGATGTGTATTTATACATCCCAAAAACCATTCGAAAATAATACAAATTTAGTTATGTTTTAATTTTTTGATGACAAAATCGATGTCAGTGCCAATGTAAACAATATTCAAAGATCTTATCACAACATTAATAAGATAACCTTTACTAATAAGTTTGTTAAAAGAGTCGATGAGTTTACACGGATCACATAGTGATTTCCGCGCTTTTAATACAATAAACTCATCATAGATACCAGGACTAAAATTTTACACTTACGCCAGACGTGCGTTTCGTCTACAAAAGACTCATCAGTGACGCTCGAATTAAAAAATATTTACAATATTACCGTAAAATTTAGCATGTGAAATACCGTTTTTAATATATCTTTTTTTTTGGTATCAGAGACAATACTATCATGCACAAATAATTTAACACCCATTTTTCGGAAAATAAATATAAATGCAAGGTTGAAACATGTCAAAATTAAAGTTTGTTGCATTTATAAATTATTCTTTTCTAATATATATGCTTGTTTCCGGTTCCTGTTAATTATTCGGTTGTGTTAATATGTTCATACTTAATTGTGTAAATTATTTAACTTGAATTAAATTGATTAAATATATTAACAATAATAAATTTACACAACTTAAGTTGTTTATTATGATACATAGTGAAATTATAGGCACTGTAGTAGAACATTCTGTGTATCTCAACATATTCACCAGACTGGTCATATACAAAATTTTAAAAGTTTAAGAATCTCTTCTTTATCTAAAATCCATCGGGCAAACCCTCCTTGCGGAAGTCCGAATTAGCAGTAACACAGCTTTCCTGTCGTTGAAGTACCCCTTGTACTACAGACCCTGCACTGTCTTGAACTGTTATATTATGGCCACGTAAAACTAATCCATCGAGAATAAACTAAAATACAAGAAGATTGTTATAGTATCCATTTTGTCATGTCACATGCGTTATCAGGGAAGGAGAAGTGCATTTAGTGGGTGAAATACGGCAAGGGCCGACAGGGTCAATTGGAAAATAATACTATATCTTCATGTTCCCCTATACATGCATTATACTATTACACTCATCAGCCACCCACTCACCAGTGATTACTAAGAAACAAACGTCTCCGGTAATGGTAGTGTTAGGTGCTCACAAACATAGTCATCCCTGTTCTTATTAGTGGTTCTCGTAGGTTTGTTGTCTGTCATGTCTGTTTTGCGTTGATTGTTTTGTCATAAATCAGGCCGTTGGTTTTCTCGTTTAAATTGTTTAACATTTTGTCATTTTAGAGCCTTTTATAGCTGACTGCATTAGCGCATTTTTGCGCCTGTCCCAAGTCACGAGCCTCTGGCCTTTGTTAGTCTTGTATCATTTTTAATTTTAGTTTCTTGTGTATAATTTGGAGTTTAGTATGACGTCCATTATCACTGAACTAGTATACATATTTGTTTAGGGCCAGCTGAAGGACGCCTCCGGGTGCGGGAGTTTCTCGCTGCATTGAAGACCCATTGGTGGCCTTCGGCTGTTGTCTGCTCTATATCGGGTTGTTGTCTCTTTGACACATTCCCCATTTCCATTCTCAATTTTATGTATACGTTTTGGTTTTGGTCAATGTTGTAGGCCGTACAGTGACATGTACTTGCCTTCATCCACGTCATTTCGTCTCTGGTTGATAGTTGTCCCATTTGACAATCATACCACATATCATTATTTTTATACTGTTACTAGTGTTAGAAATATTATTAGTTACATTGATACCCAATTTAATTTTATGGTCCAGTATTTCTCTCATGGCAATTTGTACTAAATTAAAATGTTGCTACAAAGTTGTCATATTCAAGTCCATGTACAATGAAGTATTTCAGCTTTTCAGTAAAGGTGAGTGGATTGTCAGGATTGTTAAACAAATAAAATTAACCACATTAAAATATTCTTTTGTACGCTTTTGAATGTCCATAGCCAGGATATCTTTGATGTTTATTCGGGGAACATGAATCTCTTAGCTATGGTGTTGTTTATCAATCGTCTAATGTCGATTTCAAATAACTCCTCTGAATATCTTCTTTTTTTAGTACTCTCTAACGTTAATAGTCAAACTTTACCAATGGGCATGAGTCGCGTTTACTAAACTGTGTTAATCTCCGTTCTACATCAATACAGCAATATAAGGAAGAAATAACTAATGGTCTAACTTCTGTAATTAATTTTCTATACTTACTTCTGGAAATCCTCTTTCAACAGCAATATTTGGAGGAAGTAACTGATGATGTAATCTTCTGTGGTCAATGGCTTCCTTTATACTAAATCCTAACCATTGTGTTAAAACTGTAACCTGCAAATTATCATTTTGTATTTATATTACATTACATTTTTTTCTTTCTCTGTGTCTGTGAAAATTTATTTGTGTGAAGGAAAGGCGAAAGATACCAAAGGAACATCGAAATTAGTGAAAAAGGACGTCACACTAAACTCCGAAACATAAAAATGAATTAAAATTAGAAAACATACAAGACTAACAAAGGCCAGAGGCTTCTGACTTGGGACAGGCGCGAAAATGCGGCTGTGTTAAATAAGTTTTGTGAGATCTCAAACCTCCCCCTATACCTCTAGCCAATGTAGAATAAACAAACACACAGCAATACGCACAGTAAAACTCAGCTTAAAAGAAGTCCGAGTCCGGTGTCAGAATAGGTAACAGAAGAAACTAAGCAAAATGACAATGATACATAAATTAACAATGGACTACTAGCAGTTACTGACATGCCAGCTTCAGACCTCAATTAAACTGATTAAAAGATTATGTCTTCATCATATGAAAATCAATCTGATGTTTGTATAAAAGGTGACGCTTACGCCGTTGCCCCTTCAACGTACCTCATTTAACTCTTCCAGTATTAATTTCACACACGTTTGGTTCATACCAGGAACATCAATGTACCATTTTTAATGTTTTAAACAAAATAACACTAAATACCATAGCATTTTAAAATACTAACATAACTAGATTGTTCCATTGTTCTCTGTTCTCACAGTAAGACTGAATCATCTACTTTGCCTCTGAAAGAATTTATGTATGCACTACACGTGTTTGCTGGTATAATATTCTTCAGATAATGATGAGAACAAATGTTTTCAAAACCAAAACTATATAACCATTGAAAACCAAAGGTTCGAAAAAGAGCTGCCAAAACTTTCTTTAATCAGTTTTGACAGACAGTTGCAGCCTAAATTTTATAACATGCGTGGTACTCGGGGGGAATAGATGGTTCGGAACTGTTACTGATTGGTAAAACATTTCATGCCTTGAGAAGTGAACTCTCTCTCTCTACAGAACAACTTCGGTCAATTACAGAAAATAAAAGTTTGATCAATAATACTGTGGAAACGAGTTGCAAGATGTATGACATATGTCCTGATTTGTTATATCAGAAGTTTAACTGTAGTGCTATTTCTAAACTCAGTATATGATAATAGTAACATGTATTGCGAACCTGTATGTCTGAGAAGGGATCAATTTTGCATTATCTGGGATATTTTATAATTTCCTTAATTTCAGTGCTTTCATTTTTAAACTGCTTTTTCCAACTCATGAAAGAGTATTACAGTAGTTCATCTACAGTGACCACTAGTCTCTAAACTCTGGGTTCGAACCCCACTAGTTTCGAGATGTATCTTACTTCGACCTTAATTGACAATGAATGCTTGTTTTACTGCCGAAGGTTGATAGGTCTCTATCATATGGTTACTCCGTCTTCTTTCACCAACAATAAACTGGCCGCCATGATATGTACTCAAATTCGCTAAAATGGCGTTCCGACAAAGGGGGTCTCATAAGGAGGGGGTCTGATCCCGGATCCAGCTTATTGTCTTGTCAGATTCCCGTATCCCGCTTAACATTGTAATAATATCGCTTGTAATTTCACGTGTCCCGACAGACTTCGTTTCCCGTAAAATGATTTGACTTTTCACGTGTCGCGCTTACAAAAAATCGGCAAATCCAGCATCATGCTTAGACCCCAATGAGGCCCACAACAAAGAACATCATTTTTTGCACAATTATATGTTTATGTTATATACATTCGTCATATTGATTGTATAAATTCAGAATAACATTTGTCATATTGATTGTATAAATTCAGAATAACATTTGTCATATTGAGTGTATAAATTCAGAATAACATTTGTCATATTGATTGTATAAATTCAGAGTAACATTTGTCATATTGATTGTATAAATTCAGAATAACATTTGTCATATTGAGTGTATAAATTCAGAATAACATTTGTCATATTGATTGTATAAATATTGTTATATTGATTGTATAAATTCAGAATAACATTTGTCATATTGATTGTATAAATTCGGAATAACATTTGTCATATTGATTGTATAAATTCCGAATAATATTTGTCATATTGATTGTATAAATTCCGAATAATATTTGTCATATTGATTGCATAAATTCAGAATAACATTTGTCATATTGATTGTATAAATTCAGAATAACATTTGTCATATTGATTGTATAAATTCAGAGTAACATTTGTCATATTGATTGTATAAATTCAGAGTAACATTTGTCATTTTGATTGTATAAATTCAGAATAACATTTGTCATATTGATTGTATAAATTCAGAGTAACATTTGTCATATTGATTGTATAAATTCAGAGAAACATTTGCCATATTGATTGTATAAATTTAGAATAACATTTGTCATATTGATTGTATAAATTCAAAATAACATTTGTCGTATTGATTGTATGGCAAAACAAGGTGAAATGTGTTCCAGGTGAAATGTGTTGAAGGTGAAAGGTGTTTCAGGTAGAAGGTTTTCCAGTTGAAAGGTATTCCAGATGAAAGATGTTCCAGGCAAAAGGTATTCCAGGTGAAAGATGTTCCAGGCGAAAGGTTTTTCAGGTGAAAAGAGCAGGTAAAACATCTGGCAAATGACTAACTAGCTTATTTAGACCTCAGAAAAAAATATATGCACAGCAACTATTGTTTTAAATCCGTCAGTGATATTATTAAACGCAGTGTAACTCACCAGTACTGAGGATGTAATTATCTTTGTACCACCCGAGGCTCCAACAATTAGATTGACCACGCCGTCAGGACCAACTACAATACTAGGAGACATTGAGGAAAGTGGCCGTTTCCCAGGTTTTATAAAATTTGCTGGAGATGCAGGAAGCCCAAAAGAGTTAACCGTGTTTGGTGTAGAGAAATCGTCCATCTCGTTGTTAAATATTATACCAGTTCGACTTCCAACAACTTTAGATCCGAAACTGAAATATATATATATATATAAATATAGGGGGGAAAAATAAGGCTGAAAATGCACCAAATATTTATATTCAATATGAATACATAGAGAACATTTTTGAACAATTTGTTGTTGTAATAGACAAAATGTGAATATTCATATTGAATATAAATATTTGGTGCATTTTCAGCCTTTTTTTCCTATTTTATGCACAGCGTGGACAAAATTTAAAACTTTTTAATATATATATATATATATTAATCAATAAAAGAAATTTGTAATGGTGCTTCATATTATGCTTTATACTTAAATCTTAATAGTTCATTGTGTTTTCTTTTAATAATATACATTGTATTTTGTAGTTCTCGTTTTAATAATGATCAAGTTTTCCCCTATGTCAATTGTTCTATAAGTCAGGTGAACCATGAATAGTGATCAAGTTTTCCACTATGTCAATTGTTCTATAAGTCAAGTGAACTATGAATAATGATCAAGTTTTCCACTATGTCAATTGTTCTATAAGTCAAGTGAACTATGAATAATGATAAAGTTTTCCCCTATGTCAATCGTTCTATAAGTCAGGTGAACCATGAATAGTGATCAAGTTTTCCACTATGTTAATTGTTCTATAAGTCAATGGAAATATGAATAATGATCAAGTGTTCCCCTATGTCAATCGTTTTATAAGTCAAGTGAACCATGAATAATGATCAAGTTTTCCACTATGTCAATCGTTCTATAAGTCAAGTGAACCATTTGTATGATTTTCATGTAGTTTATTGCTTTTTAACGGTTGACGCATTACAATAAAACCCTTTAAAGCACCGCTGACTAGAAATAGATGTTCATGGCAGCTGCCAACCTATTGGACTAAGTTGTACTTAACAACGTTTTCATTTAAATATGAAGATGAGGGATATCCGATTAGACAGCAACCCGAAACAATCGAAAAATCAATAGACATCTATAGAGGCCAACATTCGCTCTTCAACCATAGACACCGTTGTCTGTACACTATAGGTCAAGTCAAAAATCGTCACATGTATGCTACCGACACTCAACGCTTGTGTTACCCGACATCAATCACAAAACATTGAACGTTCTGGTTACCGACACTTAACGCTTATGTTACCCGACATCAATCACAAAAGATTGATTGTACTGGTTACAAACACTTAACGCTTATGTTACCCGACATCAATCACAAAAGATTGATTGTACTGGCAACCGACTCTTAACGTTTATGTAACCCGACATCACTCACAAAAGATTGATTGTACTGGTAACCGATACTTAACGTTTATTTAACCCGACATCACTCACAAAAGATTTATTGTACTGGTAACCGACACTTAACGTTTATATTATCCGATATCACTCACTGAACATTGATGGTACTGGTTACCGACACTTAACGCTTATTTCACCCGACATCAATCACAAAAGATTGATGGTACTGGTTACCGACACTTAACACCAACATCGCGTTATGTTACCCGACATCACTCACAAAAGATTGATTGTACTGGTTACCGACACTTAACGTTTATGTTATCCGACATCACTCACAAAAGATTGATGGTACTGGTTACCGATACAGCATCTCCATTAGGAGCTAGTAACGACAAGTGTGAAGTTCCTGACGAATTTAATCCATCAAAGAAAGTTGGTCCGTAGTAGTCTGTTCCGAAAGTTTGACTATCCAAAATCTGAGAACGTATCTCTTCTGCATATACCTCAGACGATAAGGTCCTTAGCAACTATAATAAAAATTACAAAGCTTTTATTTTTATATTCGTTTAGTTTATAGATACATAAATACGTAATAGGAAATAAACTGCATAAACATTTCGACATTGAATCAATAAGGTTAAATATTTACATCATAACATATCACTATAAAGCTTAGTGCAGAATGCAGATTTTGTTTGTTTTAAGAGATAAAAATGCAGTTACATAGCGTATTTTAAGTAAGTCGGAATCTTGCAGTATGCACAATTTCGCTTGTTTTTAATTTTGCATTAAACATTCCTACGTACTTCAATTCTTTTATTTGTGAGTAAGAAACAATATATAGTGTGTCTTCTAAGCATGTCTTCAGATGTTGACTGTTTTCTGTCTTATAATAATTACTTATATACTTTCATTTGATTTACAAACAAGTATATGTATGATATAAACTGACCTCGTTTAATTCTTTTCTAAAAGCCTCGTTTTCAGCATCTCCATCGCCAAGGCTAGTTCGTTTAGCAAAGCCAAACTTAAACGCTTCTATGATTCTATGCCATATTACAATTTCTTTTTGTTTACAAGAAAGACTTTTCTCGTGCAGGTTATATCCTACAATACGATGTAAAAATAAACTTTAAGATACATACTACTGAAGGTTAACCAGAGGTCGTTCCTACATCGCGTTTGAAAATACCATTACTCGGATAGAACATTCGAAGTATATAGAACTTCACATCCTCTGGTGCTCCTGGGATCACCCCCGATTTTCAAAGGGGTTCGTGTTTCTCGGTCAGTTTTCTATGCAGTGTTTGTTTATAGACCGTTGCTTGTCTTTTCGTCTTTTTGCCAAGGAGTTATCCGTTTCTCTTCGACTTATAAATTTTAATTATTCCGTTTCTTCCGCTTCATTTTTAGAACCTCTCGTGCTATCTTATTTTGGGGATACATTGTGCTAAGATACGAAATTCAGTTTTGAACATGATGTAAATGTTCAAATGTAATAGCTGGCAATTTTATTTTTCTGTATTTTTATAAGAAATATGAAATATTAAAACTTATTATTCATTTTGCCCATTATTCTCTATTCCTTATATTTCAGCACCCCATTATTCTCTATTCTTATTTTTTTCCTATTTTCTTTATTCTTTATTTTTTTAACCATTTATTATGCACCTTTTGTTCATTATTTTTCTCTTCTTTATTTTTTTTTTGCCTATTTTCTTAAGTCTTTTTAGCCATTTATTAATAAAATGCACCTTTTGTCCATTATTCTCTATTATCATTTTTTTGCCTATTTTTCTTAAGTATTTATTGTTTATTTATTCAGCCATTTATTATACATCTTCTTCTCCTTATTCTCTATTCTGTAAACTCCATCTAGACCCTCCCACGTGGCCTTTTGTTTATAGTTATAACGAATAATGCACAGAACTCTCTGTGTGCAGCATAAATTGTTAACTTCAATTGGAACAAACATATATGTTTTTATCAATTTCTTTACTTTTCTTTCAATATCAAACAATAAATGCATAAAAGCTGTTTCTGAAAGCATACTTTCCGGCTGCTCTGAAAAGACTGTAGCTTTCAAAGAGTCATCGCTTAAATTTTATGTCTACTACGAACCGTCAAGTATATTCAATATGAACTGTAAAATTGCTCCGCTTGACGGTGGTGGAGGAGAAAACACAGTTTTGTCTGTGTTTAGTCTAACTACCAACGGATCTTTTCTTAGTGCCGTGTACCCAGCAAGGTCGCTCTCAGTAATGATACCTCCTATAAAACAGAAATATAACTTAAGCTAAATGGAAATATATTTTAAAATGTATCGTAACTCACAATCGCAACTACTGGGCCATTCTCGATACGCCTACAATAACGTAAAATAAAAGATTTTACACAGACTACAGAGGGAAATGTTCCAGAATCTTACGTAAAAAAACACGTCTCGACCTCACAATGCATAAACACATATTTCTACAAAATATTTTCAGGTAGGCATTACAAATAAATGCAGGTAGGGAGGCAGGAGACAGAACTTTATGTTTGGCATAAGCAGTGACGCTAAGTTTCCATCATCGCGGGTCTTATATGACTCACCCGCATCCTGTATGTCCGCCACTATATCTTTACTCAAAATGCCATTATAGAATGCATCAACACCTTCATTAGCAATGATATCCAAAGTTCTGGCTAATTTTGGCATTTTTACAATATCCCCAGCCTCATAGAAATGCCCTGTTGCTGGGTTTGCTATTAAATCTCTGTGAAAATATAAACGATGTCAAAGAAAGTGTTTTTAAGAAGTCCAAATATCTAATAAAAATATTTGTCCTTTGAAAATTTTTTTTTTTTATTGATACCCAGAGGAGACGACCAAACATCATTGGTATCATATAATTATATTACTTCATTAATTTTACCAGATCGAATGTTGCTTCATCTACTTCGTATTTAAGCACATTTTGTTGAAGAAAAGGTAAATAGCGATACTGATTTCTAATTATCTTATAAATATTCCGTTAGAAATTAATACAAACAGTCATTAAATAAGTTGTTGGGGAATTTGATCTGTGTCTTGCGTTCCAAAGGTACATAAAGATTAACTGAGTTTTATGTTCCGCATGTAAAATTGAGCTTGATAGACCATATGTCAAATAATTGCAGACAATAAATCTTAGCAATCGAACATGCCCTGGAAACATATGGTTTACATTACAACTACGCACGCGCTCTATAATCAGATGTTTGGTATTCTTAAACGCAGTGTAAACCGCGATAACCCGATGAATATCAGATATGCTGGAAACTATCTACTCACTTTAACCCATCAAATGTTTTGATAGTTTCGATTTGACGAGACATGGCAAAGGCGACTGGGGTTCCTACCACAATACCCTCTCGACATAATTTGATTGATGGCTGAAATAAGTCTTTCCATGGTAGTTTACCGCCGATCTGATGAGCTAACCAAAGACCACGTATCTCGCCAGGAATACCAACAGCCAATCCACCTAAAATCAAGAATATTTTGTTAAAACTTTTATTTATCTTCATGCGTTGAACTGACTGAATTTTAAAATAAACTCATTTAAAATCAAAGAAATCGTTTGAAGCTAATTCTGACCCGACACTTATAATTAGATGTAACCGATAACTATCAAAGATCAACACTTAATTTTATGAAAAACAGATCAAAGATTAAAAGACAAGTAGAGAAAACTACTGACGAGACGAAGTTCTCAACAAAGAACAGTCACGTGAAACTGTGGCGGGAAAACACCAGTTGTACTCAATCGTCTAAACTCGGACGATTTCGTTCCTCCGGATTTACCGAGGATCGCCGATTTATAGTTGAACCAATTTAGTTTAAATATATTTTATTTGCAAAAGTAGCAAAAGGGATTGGACACAAGTTATAACAACATTAGTGACGTCCTGTCTATTATATCCCTCTAAGTTTCAATCAGAGGAATAATCGTTTTGGTGTTTTGTCCGACATCTGCAAAACGGGTCTACAAAGTAAATGTAAATAGTTAATTACACTTTCCAAACACGATCCAAATCAATGACTAATTCTTTTCATTAAACTCATGGTAAAGACAAATAAGTTTTCCAAGTGTTGGTAGTGATACGTACCTTCTGTTGATGATCTACCTACAAACATGGTCTCATTAGCTTCACTGGGCGCCATCTCACGAGCCATGATCGTGTATGCAGATCTACTCTCCCTGAAATCAAGATGGTGTCTGAGATAAGTAAACTCTTCTTTACATTTTCTCGTAAAAAAGTTAGTGGCAATGTTATTTTTCTATATGTTTATAAGAAATATGAAATATTAAAACTTTGTGAAATAAAGTTTTTCGAAACCTCGACGGATTGTAATTGCTAATATCATGTGATAAAGGTCAGCTATTAAGGTCAACTCAGTAACTGTACAATTTTTGTGGTAAACGGTTTTCTTGAATACAGTGTTCTATAGCAAAAATTGTCAAAAATTTTAGACGATCCATCAAAGCAGGATTTCAACTTTATTATCATTTCAACAGTTTGGCGCATAAAACTTCAACTTAATTGCTTTTTGATGCATTGTTTTAAATATTTTTTATTGGTAATTACGCAGTGATTGTATCAAATGACTGAAGACTGGCATATCCATATTATGTTCCTCATTGATAAGCCAGATATTACTCATTACCGGAAGCCGCAATTTATGGACTTCAGGACATTACAACCATAGCTACATGGGCAGCAAAATATGTCTATTCTTATAGGACACGTGCTACCATCAGCGATTCATATTGCCATATAAAATCTGTGATAATTAAAGTATAAATTTGATGACAGATTTCATTCCAAATTCATAACTACAAAACACCTTTTGAAAGTATAACTGCATCTGGAAAATTTGGGATGATGACACTTTTCCTATTTTATAAAAACTAATTGCTCTTTTTAGAACAAGAGAAAAGAAAAAAAAATATTTCTTACTTCTATGCAAATCATATGTGAGAAGTCTACATCTAATACAAATACCTACTTGTTATAGACAGTCATGAAGAAGCCACCACCTATTCCACAACTGTGGAAGTTAGAAATACACTGGCATAGTAGAGTGGCAATGGCTGCATCTACAGCTGACCCATGACGTCGTCTCATGATGTGGCTTCAATACAATAAAACTTTCGTTTGTTCGTCTTGTTCATGTGTTAGCTTTTCCATATACATTATCAATAAACCCATCATAGATACCAAGATTAAAATTATTTACGCCAGACGCGTGTTTCGTCTCATCAGTGACGCTCGAATAAAAAATAATAATAAAGGCCAAATTAAGTACGAAGTTGAAGAGCATTGAGGACCCAAAAAAATTCCGAAACGTTTTGCCAAATACAGCTAAGGTAATCTATTCCTGGAGAAGACAATTATTATTTTTTTATAGGTATTTGTATTTGAGTATTTTTTCGAGTTATAAATCAATCCTGACTCGTATGAGTAAAAGAAGATGTGATAACTTTCCACCTGCAACTTGATGACGAGAATGCAAGCAACTATAGGTCACCGTGCGGTCGTCAACAATGAGTAAAACCAATACCTTACAGTAATCTATAAATTGCCCCAAACCCACTTTTCCAATATGCTAGTTTAAATTATATGTGGGACCATGCCAGGAAATCACCAACAGTTCAAATGATGACCATTCGTGTTGTTCAATCGGCATTTTTTAGTGTTGTTCGTAATTTTTTGTATTACTAGTATTCTATTAATGATTGTATAGTCTGTCCTTCTTCTACTCATCAAATCAAAAAGACTGTCTTTTTAACTAGTCTTATAGGTCAAACGAAAAAAGTTCGTGTAAATGTGAACTTATACATTTAGATGTGTGTTGCTGTAAAATAGTTTAAATGTTATGACAATCATGAATAGTGCCACAAACGGAGAAAACAAAAACTGCTACACTTCCGGAATTTGCCCCGATCTTAAAAGGGGTTTCTGTGGCTCAATGATAAGTTTTCTGTTCGACATTTCGCGTTAATTTCTTTATCTTCCTGCTCCTCATATCGCCAAACTGTTCTTCTTTTTTTTCTCTGACAGATATTTAACTTTTTACACATGTGATCTTGAGGTAAAATAGCAGGTTTATCATATGACTTCCTTTGTTTATTTGAATACACTCAAATGTAAATATATAATCTTACGTTCCGATCAAATGTTAATACATATAATCTTACGTTCCGATCAAATGTAAATATATAATCTTACGTTCCGATCCTTGCACATGGAGAGCCAGCATCAGATGCCACTGCAGCGAATCTATAATGTCCTTCAATGGAATCGGACACAAACTGAGATTCTGTTTCTGTTTTACCGGAAACTGTTTTGTGACGTCTATTGTTTTTGTATTTTCTTTGTAGAATGCCAAATCCTATCATCAGAACAAAACAATTTGATAAAAGTAATCGTCAAAAAGACAGCAAAGTAACAATATAGATTTGCCAAAATAGGTAGAGACAATGTTTGTATCAAAATTTTCATGATAAGTTTGAGAATATCAGGAAAAAGTGGAACTTTAAATCTACAAATGACATGCAATTCCAAGGTGAAAGAGCGACAACTAATATTCATACAAAACAATATGGAATTAAATGCTGTTTTTTTTAATTTTTTATTTATACGAAATGAAAGCAAGTGATCTTCACATTTTGCATGAAGGGCGGAATAAATAAAAAAAAATAACATTTTTCCTAAAGCATAACCGTTTGCACGAAGGTAGTTCAAATCTTAGTTTTACTGCTATCTTGCGTATTGTAAATTGTTTTTGATTGTACATTTGTATCGATGAAATGTATAAGCTGTATGAGAATCAAGATGTAGATTATGTTACAACCTTTCGACAGTCCTAAACAAAATCTTTTAAACTTAACTATTTTCAAAGTATATTGGGACTATTTGCTCATGCGCATGAAATAACAATTGACCTGCAAACAACTCGGACTTTTTATAAAAAAAAAGAAACTCGGTTCGTCTTTGGAGACTTTAGAGACAACTTGGGCCGTCCTACAGATAATGGCTAATGTATTATTGTTTGGTCAATTTAAAATTTTTATTTAAGAAAACTGGAACCACTTATGAGGACAATTAGGACTATCAATACAGACAACTCAGTACATATGGTTCCGTAATATAAGCTATAAAAGGCCCGGCATGAAAAAATGATAAATTATTCAAAAGAGAAAACCACGGCCTGGTTCATGCTAAAACAATAGACCCAAACCAACATTGATTACAGGAATCAACAATTACCACTTAACTGTAGGCTACTGACTCAGGACAGGCACCTACCGAATGTAGCGGGGGTTAAAATGTTTCGGAGAAAAATGAACCTTCCATAACCTGGGACTACTGATCTAACAATACTCGCTGTTACTAAAGGAAGTTCAAAATGTTCATTACAATATTAAATAACAAATAGATCACGTTTTCCTAGACTTAAACAAATTAAGTGTAATGTTAAACAAGTGTATAAACGCTGTTATAACAAAACATGCGCAAATATTGTACAAATCATTTGGAAAGGGTAGGACTCAACTGATCGACTCGAAGCACAAACAATTGTTTTGAAAAAGACAAAAGACACAAAGTACCGATTAAAGAGTACTCGCAGTTACTGAAACCAGTCCAAAGCCAACTACAATTTATAACAAATAAATCATGTTTTCCAAGACTGAAATATCAATCAGTACACATCCAACGAGTTTATTGTTAATACGTTATACAAAGTCTGACAAAAGCATGTTTTTGAATAATGTGCCAGAGTCATAATGTATGTTACCTAGGTAAAGATGCAAAAATATAAGTATCGACAAAAAGACGGTTCATAGGTGTTCATAACTGTATAGCAGTACATAGTTAGTTATGCTTTTATTAATTAAACACAAAATCAATGTTAGTAAGTATACTTCCTGATTCTCAATTAACAAAGAGTTGCTCATTTATAATTTTACATAAAGAAGTTCCTTTCTTACTTTACATTGAGTAATCCTATTTTACATGGAATGGTTCCTTTCTTATTTTACATAGAGCAGTTCCTTTCTTATTTTGATAGAGTAAATGTAGTTCCTTTCTTATTTTACATAGAGTAGTTCCTTTCTTATTTTACACAGAGTAGTTCCTTTCTTATTTTACATAGAGTAGTTCCTTTCTTATTTTACACAGAGTAGTTCCTTTTATTATTTTACATAGAGTAGTTCCTTTCTTATTTTACACAGAGTAGTTCCTTTCTTATTTTACACAGAGTAGTTCCTTTCTTATTTTACACAGAGTAGTTCCTTTCTTATTTTACACAGAGTAGTTCCTTTCTTATTTTACATAGAGTAGTTCCTTTCTTATTTTACACAGAGTAGTTCCTTTCTTATTTTACACAGAGTAGTTCCTTTCTTATTTTACATAGAGTAGTTCCTTTCTTATTTTACACAGAGTAGTTCCTTTCTTATTTTACACAGAGTAGTTCCTTTCTTATTTTACATAGAGTAGTTCCTTTCTTATTTTACACAGAGTAGTTCCTTTCTTATTTTACACAGAGTAGTTCCTTTCTTATTTTACACAGAGTAGTTCCTTTCTTATTTTACACAGAGTAGTTCCTTTTATTATTTTACACAGAGTAGTTCCTTTTATTATTTTACATAGAGTAATTTCTTTCTTATTTGAAACTAGTAGACACATATTTTACTCAATTATATGACACAAAATTTACTCTTTCCTCTCAACTTTTCAATTAGATTGAAATACAGATCATGTGTCCTCCTTCTCTAACAAGGTACTACAGCTTTAGTGTAGAAAAAATACCTGTTTCTAATTCAGGACAATGTTGCAGGTACTACTATGTCCTTATTTGCTCTTGTAATTATGTTAACTACTCAGTTTAAGTAGGAGAAGTTATCAAATCCTTGTTTGCACTTGTAATTGTTTCAGTATCATAGCGTTAAAAATATATTATTAATTCAGGAGTCCTGGACAATGTTCCAAATGTTAAAATGAACTTTTTGCGCTCTTGTAATTATGTTAACTACTCAGTATCATAGCGTGTAGAAGAAATTACCAAATCCTTATTTGCACTTGTAATTGTCTCAGTATCATAGCGTTCAAAAAATATTTTCTTATTCAGGACAATTTTGCAGATGTTACTATCAACTTATTTTTGACTTATTATATCAATTAATCAGTATCATAGCGTTTAAAATATATTTCTAGTTCGATATAATGTAGAAGAAGTTCCCGTATCCTTATTTGGGTCATTTTTTAAAAATTCCGAATTTTCAGTACACCTATGCTAAAGCTTCTTTTTTTTAAAAGGAAAATGCAGTTGTAAGTGTTTAAATGAAAGTTTGTAGGATTTATGAGTCGGAACATCAATAATAAATAAAGGCAACAGTAGTATAGCGCTGTTCAATAGTCATAAATCGATTTAACTGAAACAAATCCGGGTCACAAACCAAAACCGAGGGAAACACATCAACTATAAGAGGAAAACAACGGAACAACATAAACACTGAACTGCTACAAAAACAAACGCCAACATACATAGAAACGGACTATTTGATAACAACTGCCATATTCCTGACTTGGTACAATTTAGATCTATTTTGATAAGATTAAAAATATTTTAGTCAGATTTTTGCGTAATTTATGTGCGTACAGCGTCAGGGTAACACATTTCAAATCACTTTTTTTTCTATTTTCCGATTGCCTTGATATCTGCAAAAGGAACTATTTTAGAATGTTAATGATAACCCTAACGAAAAATCACAGCTTCTTTATTATTCTATGTAACATTTTTTTTACAAACTAAATTCAATTGGCGTACATGAAATGCATGTCTATCCCGTTACCGCTTCGTAATCAACCGTTAAATTGTTTCTCCCTATGAATAAGGAACTATTCAGTGATGGTTTAAAAGTACAAAGCATCCTAAAAATGTAACACAGTACGTTAACATCATAACAGTGTAGAAAAGAAAATTCAAGACATTTAGTGAAAATAAATATGTATACTTGTAAAAAGTGCAATTTATGGCAAGCCGTTTTACTATTTATTCTAACTTCATGATATCTAATAAACTTTATAAGATATCTCATTTAGTTTATAAGATATCTTATATAGTTTATAAGATATCTTATATAGTTTATAAGATAACTTATATAGTTTATAAGATGTCTTAAATAGTTTGTAAGATATAGTTTATAAGATATCTCATATAATTTTCTTAATAAGATATCTTATAAATTATATGAGATATCTTATAAACTATATGAGATATATTATAAACTATATAAGATATCTGATATATATATATATTAGATATCTTATATAAAAAAATTATAAATAAAGGCAACAGTAGTATACCGCTGTTCAGTAGTCATAATTCGATAAAACTAAAGCAAATCCGGGTAACAAACTAAAACCGAGGGAAACATTTCAACAATAAGAGGAAAACAACGGAACAACAAAAACACTGAACTACAAAAAAAAGCAAACGCCAACATACATAGAAACGGACTGTCTAATAACAACTGCCATATTCTCGACTTGGTACAGGACATTTTAAGAAAAAATGGTGGGTTGAACCTGGTTTTATATACTTTAGAAAATATCTTACACAGTATAAAAGATATCTTATAAAGTTTATAAGATATCTTATAAAAACTTGATTATCTAAGATATCTTATATATTATATATTATACGAGAACATCTTGAAGTTAGAATAAATAGTAAAACGGCTTGCCATAGCAATTACTTGTTGGAAACCAAAATCACAACAGAAAAACATAATCACTTCATCAAAGGGAGTAGTTATTTCACAGCAGCATTCATAAATGAAGAAATTTGTCCATCATGTTGTGTCTTCCCTGTTACTATGGTTACAGTAACAGGATAGACAATATTTGACAAAAATGTCTTTAAAAAGTTTATAATTACATATAGTTTAACACATAATGAAATGTTTAGTTGTTTGAACTCATTTAAAGGTTACAACGTCTAAATTTTCACAATTTATCATATACAAAAGCAATACTGCTATCGGTAACAGGATAGACAAAAAGGGTAACAGGATATAAGTTGATATGGTGATATGTCGTTAACGTACGTTCCTGTTACCAAAAAAAAAGACAAAGGTAAATTAACCAACATGCGAGGGAATTACTTGATGTTAGGTTTATTAGAAAGAGAAAAAAATCTTAGACTTGCGTTGCTGGTGGTTATTTCTATAACCTTTGAAAACCAATTTTTAGAGGTATTTTTCAGTACATAATGGAAAATTGACAAATAATCTATCATTACACAGAATGAAAATATATAGAAGTTTTTACTCTTGAAAACCGTCTTATTGGCTATAAAAACAAGCTTAAAATTTTATCGGAACCTTTTCAAAAT